CATACCTTTTATGTATATTTATATATTGCTTATATATAAGATGAAATACTTTTTTTTTTATCAATTTTTAATTAATTTTAAATTGAATATTCATCTTATATTTAATTCAATTCCATGTATAGCTCATGAATGAATGTCCTCTACCTATTGCATTTTTTTTTAAATCCTTGGGAGGGCACAAAACAAAAATATATATATAAAAAAGACACTCTAACTTACGTCAATATATACAAGTGTGCTTTAAAACAGCCAAGTTCATCTCAAATAAAAAGAAGGCTTCAAATTCCACCCACCAGCAAATATTGCTTGTTAGTTTACATCAAGCGGTTTTGTGATGTAGAGTGAAAGAGGGCAGGCAGGAAGGACGATGCATAAAAACCTTTCCGTAGCCTTAATGTGGATTGTGGAATAAAAATGGAATGGTTGTCGTGTTGGGCAAGCAATCTCCTATACCATCAATAGGCATGTTAATGGTATTAGCCTATTAGGTTAATTAGTTGTACCCCACTTGGGCAAATTAAGGGGCACACACCCCTCGGGTTGATAGTTCAAAGGCTTCAAGCAGGGCGTGTTTCTTACTTTCTTCTTTCCTCTTGCATAAATACAGGTGTTGTAATTTAATTTCTTAAAAAAGGGGTCCAAAATCTATGGAAGGTTATACTGGCCTTGAACAAAGCGCTGGTCAATCTAGATTTGTTAAGTTCAAGTTGATTACAACCACCCTACTCGAGGACCAGCTTACAATTAATATGGCAAAAAATTTTTTTTATCAGCAAATAAGTAGGCCTCTTTTTTAATCAGGGCAAGAGCTTTAACGAAATATATGCCTACTAAGTAAAACAAACTTAATTTAGGGTTAAACTCATGTTCAAATTCTTATAATGCTAATCAATTAATTTTTAATATACAAAAACTTATTTAATTTTATATTAATAAAATATGTTGCTCAAGTTTATATAAAATTTAAAATGGTTACATTTAATTGTTTTTGGAAAATATTTTAGAGTTACTGGTTTTTTAGTTCAAACTGTATTTTTTTGGTATAGTTTAGACAACAAAATCACTAGAATACCCTAAATAAATAACAAAGAGGAACATTTATTAAGGGTACTCTAATTGTTCTACAATCTAAACCACATTCTTTATGCAATCTGTCAAAAAAAAAAAAA